CGGTATTGCTTCGTTCCAAGTTGCGTATTGCTCTCATAACACCTGTCAGACTACTACTCCACGTCAGGCCCCTCATAACACCACCTGTGGGAATTGCTACTCCACATCAAGCCCCAACACCATCTGTGAGAACCTACTACTCCCACGTGAGCCCCTCATAACACCATCTGTGAGAGTACTACCGTGGCCCCCATACCACCTGTGAGAACTACTACTCCCGTCAGGCACACATAACACCACCTGTGAGAACTACTACTCCACGTCAGGCCCCTCATAACACCACCTGTGAGAATTTACTACTCCACGTCAAGCCCCTCATAACACCATCTGTGAGAACTACTACTCCACGTGGGCCCCTCACAACACCCCATCTGAGAGAATTACTACACCACGTGAACCCCTCATAACACACCTGCAGAGAGTTACTACTCCACGTCAGGCCCTCATAACACCATCTGTGGGGAACTACTACTCCGTCAGGCCCCTCCAGCACCACCTGTGAAGAACTACTACTCCACGTCAGGCCCCTCATAGCACCACCTGTGAGAAGCTACTACTCCACGTCAGGCCCCTCATAACACCATCTGTGAGGGAACTACTACTCCACGTCAGGCCCTCATAACACCACCTGTGAGGGAACTACTACTCACGTCAGGTCCTCACTTAACACCACCTGAGGGAACTACTACTCCACGTCAGGTCCCTGCTTACCACCTGTAGAGAGTTACTACACCACGTGAGCCCTCATAACACACCTGTGAGAACTACTACTCCACGTCAGGCCCTCATACACACCACCTGTGAGAACTACTACTCCACGTCAGGCCCTCATAACACCACCTGTGAGGAACTACTACTCCACGTCAAGCCTCATAACACCACCTGTGAGAACTACTACTCCACGTCAGGCCCTATGCTTACCACCTGTGGGGAACTACTACTCCATCAGGCCCCTCATAACACCACTGTGAGGAGCTACTACTCCACGTCAAGCCCCTCATAACACCACCTGTGGGGAACTACTACTCCACGTCAGGCCCCTCATAACACCACCTGTGAGGAACTACTACTCCACGTCAGGCCCTCCACTACACACCATCTGTGGAGAACTACTACTCCACGTCGGTCCCTCATAACACCACCTGTGAGGAAATACTACTCCACGTGAGGCCCCTCATAACACCACCTGTGAGAACTACTACTCCACGTCAAGCCCTCATAACACCACCTGTGGGAACTACTACACCACGTCAGGCCCCTCATAACACCACCTGTGAGGAACTACTACTCCACGTCAGGCCCCTCATAACACCACCTGTGAGGAACTACTATGTCAGGCCCCTCATAACACCACCTGTGAGGAGCTACTACTCCACGTCAGGTCCTCATAACACCACCTGTGAGACTACTACTCCCACGTCAGGCCCCTCATAACACCACCTGTGAGGGAACTACTACTCATCAGGTCCCTCATAACACCATCTGTGAGACTACTACTCCACGTCAGGTCCTCATAACACCATCTGTGAGGAACTACTACTACTCCACGTCAGGTCCTCATAACACCACCTGTGAGGGAACTACTACTCCACGTCAGGCCCTCTCCAACACCATCTGTGGGGAACTACTACTCCACGTCAGGCCCCTCATAACACCACCTGTGAGGAACTACTACTCCACGTCAGGTCCCTCCTTAACACCACCTGTGAGGAGCTACTACTCACGTCAGGCCCCTCATAACACCACCTGTGAGGGAACTACTACTCACG